TTTGCTTTCTTATAAATAGAAATGTTTGGACAGTGAAGCATGATCGACGTGCTCGATTCTGGACTATGCTCGAATATAAAGCTATTTCAACCGAAAGTATCAGCGGTGTATGATGCAAAGCTCATCATCGTCTGGATAGGCATTCAATAAATACTAAATCATTGATTGTGTTGTTGACTGAAGTTTCATATTAAATAAATATTCTTGCTTGATTATTGTCATCTTGTTTGCGATAAAAGTCTAGTAATAAGATTGCCTTTATGTGTGCCAACTCTACTTAAGAACTCACTGAATCAACATCGACCCTTTAGATCGTAGAGAAGAATTTGAGTTCAACAAATAACTACCACGACGCGTTTCGATCTTATTAAAAGATCTCATCAAGTGGTATAATTAAATCTGCATAAATAATAAAAAAGTCTCGAAATTTCAAAAGATTTCAAAAAGAAATCCTCCAAAACCTAAAGAATCTTCAGTTATAAGCAGCAGATATTATTTATGCAGATTTAATTATACCACTTGATGAGATCTTTTAATAAGATCGAAACGCGTCGTGGTAGTTATTTGTTGAACTCACCCTCATTCCAACTGAATGTTATTCCTCAGAATTAAACTATACACTTTGTACTATCTTCTACAAGTCCCTTAAGCAAGGACGAAATGCGTCGTATGGTGCTTTGAATCATCAACTTCTAAATATGATTCATCCGCATTTGAGGCTCTATCCGGCAATGTGTAAATCATTTTGTTACATTTTGAAATAAACGATATCGGCTATCACATTTGAATTTTATTCTGCTGTTTTCTGAAGTGTCATGTTTTCGGTGTAATCCAACGGTATCAAAGGCTTTTCGAGCTGAAACTTTTATCGTCGATGCATCTTAGTGATCCCTATTAGCAGCCCAAATTTCCACAGGATGCAGAAGTTGCGTTTGCGGCAAATTGTTCTCTAAGAGAATTTGCACAATTTGCCGCAAACTAAAAAACCTTAACTGATAAAACTTCAAAGTAGAAACGCAATAAAGGAAGCAGGAAAGCTGGACAGAAGAAGAGTAGGAAAGTCGGAAAGCAGGAAAGAAGGAAAGCAGGAGAGTAGGAAAGTAGGAAAGAAGCAAAGCAGAAAAGCAGGAAAGAAGCAAAGCAGGAAAGCAGAAAAGAAGGAAAGTAGACAAATCAAGACAATAGAAATGGTGTTAGTCACCCCGTAATTCTCGCAAGTGAGAGAGAAAGCCAACGGTCTCTGCGTAAAACCTCATTACCATCTATTGCTGATGAATAACGACTCCTAACACATGTTTTAGCGGGAATATAATGTCATTAGAAGCACGCGCTGCTATGTCTGAGTGGTTAAGTTGTGCAACATGTACCCAAAAGGTGCTCTAAATCCGGATTGCATGTCCTCTATGGAAAATGCTTGTCATGGAACCGAACAAGAGAGCTAAATATGGTTTTGAGAGTAACCAGTAGTGTCAAGAAGCGAAAAATCCTATACGATATTTACCAATTTTTTAATGTCAGAGCGCAGTGCTATTCTTCCAGAAAAGGGTCAGCGAATCCGTAGGATGAGCGCTACTTGTGACATAAATTTCAGCATATTTTAACAAAAAAATGAAAATTTTTGATTTTTGAAAATTGAAATGAAAACTTTTTCTATGTTCAACATCGATTATCGCTTGTTCAACAAATCATTTGCAGACACTTTTATTTGAGTTTTATAAGGGTTACAGTGGCTTTTTCTTTAGAATATGCTGAAATTTACATTAAAAACCACTTTTGAGTGACAGATTTCAAAGAAGCGACATCTTTGGTGAAGCTAAAATATGTTATCCCATGAAGACGAGTACAATGAACAACTTTTCACGAACAAAAGTTTTCCAAACGACTAGACAAGAGCAGGGAACTGCGCAAGAATTAATTTTTTCCTTCACTACAAAATAGCTGGACAAATTGATTTTTTCATTTTTTAAAAACTTTTTAGCTTCTACCAAGTCCCTTAAGCACAAGAGATATTTTATATTCAGACCCTTGGGTATTGCCTCTACAAACAGACGGCGGAGTACCCCTCGCCCCCCCCCCCCTACCCTCAAGATATGTGTAGTTAATACACATCAAATTTCGTTAGATCTCTCCAATATCTGAAGGGTCATTCGTAGAGTGAACACTGAATCGAAAAACTGGTCAACAAATTCTTCTCTACGATCTAAAGGGTCGATGTTGATTCAGTGAGTTCTTAAGTAGAGTTGGCACAATAAAGGCAATCTTATTACTAGACTTTTATCGCAAACAAGATGACAATAATCAAGCAAGAATATTTATTCAATATGAAACTTCAGTCAACAAAACAATCAATGATTTAGTATTTATTGAATGCTTATCCAGATGATGAACAAAATAGAGCCGACAAGTCCTGTGGTGTTGTACCACATTGAGAACAGAATGCTGTTGATGAATCAAAATATGGTGGAGGTGCATATTGATTTTGTTATCCAATAAGGTGTGGTGATACGTTGGCATTTTGATAAGAATAAAAAGCGCCACTTCGTGGAGTAGATGAACGGTCAACATCAATGATTAACTAAAACAAAAAAAAAGAAAACAATCAAGACATATGAATCAATATTTGTTCTCCGATAATTTTGATCGACTGTTGGAAGAACTATGCAGTTCTCGATTAGATTACAACACTTACATGATAAACTACACAAATATTATGATTTCTACACCCTCGAAAACAATGTATCGTTGTTTTTAATCTCCAGTTGCATGGTGTTGGTGATCTTGATGAATATTTCATTGATTCTTCGGTAACTGCACGTCGCATTCGTGCCGTTTGTAGAACTTGTATGATAACAAGTAAAACAATGAAAACTAATGATCCAGCTATAAACATAACTATAGCCATACCCACATTTATAAACAAAGCTTCCTTATGCGAGACACCTGCAGCTACTCCAGTAACAATGATGCATATTATTACAAAAACTATGCTCAAAACAAACAAAGTAATTCTACATCTTTTAATTACTCTTGAATAAACTGAGCGATTGATTTTCTGAATTGATTCTCGAAATTCATCGCGATTAATTATTCCATTCGGATAAATTGGATAGTTTAAATCGAATTCTGTTTGGCAGCATCCAGCTGGAAAATCTACGATAAATTTTTTTTCGTTAAAAAGACCAATAACTTACTCCGAATCATCGGTATAGAAATTGAATTTGGATTCATTCGAAGACCGATCATTGTTCCTATTAAAATCAAAGTAAAATATAGAAATCCAATAAGGTGGATAAAATCATGTGGTAATGGGAAGTGGTGTTTTTCAGCAAATGTCAAACGAATGATATACGCGAGATAATAGAAGAAGACGGTAGAGATAATATACACAGCAAACGAAACGAATAAAAAACACCAGTTTATGTGTTTTTTTTATATATTCAGTGATGATATGCGTCTTTTTGCATTTTTATCGTTCCAACATATAAGTAAAATCAACAAAACGACAAAGATACGTTGAGTTTTATTTAATGTGATTTTTTCCTTTATCTTTTACCTACGAAAAGTGATGAATGTAGTCTGTCAAAAGAACTGGTAAATGTCTTTTATCAACTTATATAGAGAGTGTCCCAAGAGTGTCTTCCCTATAAGTTTTTCGTATATCTTTAGGAGTTTACGATCTTTTTCATTTCAAACTGAATTTTGACAAAAAAATCAGCACATTTATACAAAACGCGGGAGATTAGGGGATCTAAAAGAAGAAGTACCTTTCGCGATCCTGATTGGCGGAGGCCAATCTTATCATACTTAAGAGAGGGTTCGTGAGAAACCTGCCAGGACATGGTACACCGGCCGGAGACCCATCACGGATTCTAGATTTGAATATATGAGAAGAATGACCGTTCTGCAGTATTACTAACCTGAAAATATCAGCCTGATCCATTGCTTCCCTGAGGCGTGGTGAAGCACGCACTGAGAGCCCCTCTGATCGAGTCATCAAAAAATCACATTTTTCAAGGCATCTCTTTCTTGTTGACTTTTATTAAAATGGCTTGGTCGTTCAGGTAGTGTCATATATCAAAAGATAGACCTCACGTTGCTCTATCAGACCATATATATCTCGCCCCCTTCGAGCGAAACACTAACGGTGATAAGCATATTACGTGATCGACCATGATCATTGTTTTGACAAAAAATGTCCAATTTTAAAATATCCACATGTTCCTTTATTAACCATTAGAAAACCCATTTGAAACTGCATCTTTTCGTGAAAAAATATTTAGAAAAAAAATCAGGGCGACATTTAATTCTTTCGAACAAAGTGCACTGGTCGACCCAGGAAAATCGGCCTTTCCGCTTGAAGTCATACGATTTGGAACAGAATCAAAAACTAACGCCAGATTCGTGTTCAGCGTGGAAAACTGAGTAGGATAGGCTATACTAGAACTTTTCAGCGAGTCCAATGGGTAGTTTTACTGAACATGTCCATTACTAGGCAACTACAGGGTGTTGCAAAACCATTACACCCACTCTGCAAGTTAAAGTGTAAATGATTTCACAGAGTATTATATACCAAATTAATGCTCATTAAAAACTGCATTCATGAACGTAATCAATTGACCGTACATCAATTATTGGCTATAGAATTATTGAAATGTCTTGAACTATATGCCAAAATGGGCTCGTATTTTACGATTTTCATTCTTCATGTACACATTTTCATAAAAATAATAGCAGATTCGTAATCTCCATCAAAAACTGAATCTAAAGACATGTCATTTGTATATTATTGAAGAAAAACATGTTTTCGAAAATTTTTTTTCAACTGAAATATCTCGATTTATATACCACTCGACGCAGCTTTTGCTAGAGATCACGAATTTGATATTCTTTTTCTTGTAAAATGTTCTAAAACTTGCAAAAATTGCAAAATACGAGGCCGTTTGGGCATGAAAATGCCCTAAATTTTATAACATCGGCTGTGTAAAACAACTGTTATGGTTTCTGACTAGCTTAAATGGTAAATGATGCATTTTTCAATTTACTCCAGAATCTAAGTTGGACAGGGACCGTAACAAATCTTTTATAGAGCCGATATTATAAAATTCAGGGCATTTTCATGCCGAAACAAGAGAGCATTTCAAGCGCTACAAAATCACACACTCCGCCTTTCTCTATTTGGTATAAAAATGAGCCGTATCGGGCAAGCCGTTTGTGAGTTATAGACAAAAGAATTTTCAAAATATCACCTTACAGCGGAAAAATCCCTCATTTTGCCAATTTTCGCTGTCGTTCATTGAACAAATGCACGTATGAGAGAACCTTTCATTGTCAACATGCTGCATTTTAAGAGATCTATCTTTTCCAATCGTTTTCACGTCGATAGCTATGACACAGTCCCACGTAGAAACTGTTTATGTGTCACTCTACACACTTTTTTGAAAATGTCCCTCTACATTTTCGTGGCATATCGTAAAGTTCTCGGCAACCGAACACGAGCAATGGCTGAAATTATAGTCAGTGATAGAACTTCCGGAGTTCTATATTCAATGTAAAAACGAGCCGTATCTGATCAGTGGCTCAGGAGTTATAGAGAAAACAATTTACAAATCGTCACTATATTTTTTTGTTACAAAATGTCCGCCTACATTTTGCCATATAATGTAAAGTTGAAAGGGAAGACCAACCCGTACGCCGCTGAAAATGTTCCTCCGTATACAACTTTTTATCCTCTATCTAGCATAAAAGTTCCAAGAAGATTGGACCTTTTGTTCTCGAGCTATGGCCAGAACAAACATCAAAATGTCCGTCTACAAAGTGTCTGAAAACGTCTTTTTTGCAAAAAGAAACGTTTTTTGTCTTAATTGGTGACTTAATTGGTGGACGATGATTTTTTGATCTGTGAAAGCACCGACCCAGCCGTTCACTGGCACATTTAGATTTCAGTTGGGATATCCGATATGAAAGCTGGTATAGCGGAGCCTACATATCTAGCAAAATTTTTGCGCTATTCGGCGTAGTAAAACTAAATTAATATTTTTCCTCCCAAATGTTGAGCATTATATCATTACAACAAAATTATCTGTTCTTAAAATAAAAAATAAAATTGAATGGATCAAGTTTCACTACGTTTTGTTCTTTTTATTGAAAGCTTGAATTTATTGGTTGGAAATTTTCACGTTTTTAGAAAAGTGGCACGAAACTATAGGAGTGTGTGTGGGGGTGTGGGTGGGTGTGTTATTCTTCAACTCACCAACACCCACACTCACCCCAATCGAATTCTATCGACATCAGTCAAGATTCAGCAGTAAAAATGACTCCACGAGACGTGTATCAATGTCTGATTATTCGACAACTGCATAATTGTAAATGTGTCTTGTAATTTTATTTTATTTCATTGTTTTCTTACTGGGTTTTTTCTCATACATTCTTTCGCAGGGAAAGAATGTATGACTGGGAAAGTTTCCCAGTCATACAGTCAGTTTACCTATGTTGTTCTGAAGAACGCAAAAGCGAACGAGCGAAAAGATGAAAAAAGTTTATGCGAATTCACTTGCAAGAGAAATTATTTGCATGCGTCATTACATATGATTTCATATAATACATAGAGCCACTTTTACGTTGTTAAGAGCTAAATTGTATCTTTCTATGAGAAATCGTACATAGAGAAATATTTATCAACAATATGAATTCTCGTCATCAGAATCAAGAAAACCATTTTTATCTATATTCATCATTTTTCATTTTCACCCTAATTAATGTTTCCATTGAATTTCTCGAAACCAAGTCAATCATTATTAAGAGAAAATACTTATTAATATAAAAGCAAGAAACCTTAAACAAAATCTATTTTTCAAATATATGTGCACGCATATGGTGAAAAGATAGAATGGTTAAAAAATATTGTTTACAGGTACTTCAAAAAATACGCAGACACTTACTGGCCTTTCTTTGTATTTTTCCTTTTGTGTGATAAGAGAAGTTAATTAAAACGAGAATCAAGAGATTAGTAAAATGACCAATATTCATATGATCGAATAAATGAAACAGCAAGTCATTGGCTAATAATTCTAATGTGCAGAAGCAAATAGAAATGTGACTTTTGTCTATTAAAATAGATAATTTTTCTGTCTGTTTATTTTTCTCATAAAGAGGACGAAAAACGACAACATTTTAAACCATACTGATTGACTGTTTCCTGAAGCAGCTCTTTCGATGCCGCACCATTGGATAATAGCGATCATTCTATGGAAGAAAATCAGTCGTATAACAGTAATATTCCACAAACATTTTTAGAATCTTGGAATTTAATAGCTGTACGCCACCATTGTTCAGAAATGTAGGGTGATAGATCAATGGAAAAATTACATTCAGATGTGTTACGAGTTCGTAGTACAGAACGAAATTGTGTCTTACCATTATAATCAGTGTATGTTTCAGTTTCTGTGTAATACTACATAAAATAGATAGAAAAATATATAGTACGAGATATCGGATGCGATAGAATAAATTACACTAACTCATTTATTAGAATTAGAAATACCTCTGTATAATAGCCAAGAATGTTGACTTTTAATTGTGGTTTTTCATTGAGATAGGTCATGAAATAACGCCATAATTGATCAGGATTTCTATCAATAAGTGGATCAAGTGAAATAACACCTTTCTTTTTACGTTTTATTTCTGCCTGACATAGTTTCATGTATGGAATGAATTCATTATTGTATAAAATAGCACCATTAGGTAAGTTGATATATCAAAATACTGTGGTGGTAAATCACTGATTTCAGGTGTAGATGAAGTAGTGCATTCATTATAGGTGGGCAATTCCATATTGTTATTTGATATTAATATTGATTTCTCAGAAGTTGCAGTTGACTCTGCAGGAACTATTATATTGTGTAGATGTAAGTGTATTGAGAATAACAAATTCTCGTTCTTTAGGATAGTACAATAATGATACGTAGAGCACTTTCTCTCTCCATCTGTTTAGTTCATTCAGTCACTCTCATGTATGGAAGTTAAGCGTGTTTTAGATAGGAATCACTCATGATGATAAGAAAGAGAGGGATGCCTTACAGAAAATGCAGAGGAAGACAAAATACGGGTAATGGATTACTGTGTTTATCGAACAGAAGGCAGTAAAACCAAGAATAATTCTTGAGTAAAAAAGAGATCTGCTAAATTGGCTGTACAAAGACTTATGGCATTCCGCAACAAATGATTACGCCTGTATAATGCGTGATCGCATGCTGCGTGTCATGGTGTTTTGCTTTTTGCTATGTTTTTTGTTCACGGAAAACAATGTATGCGTTCAGTACTCTAAAAAATATTAGCTATAAGTAGTAATTAGAAGAAACGACTACTGCATCGAAAATCGCGATTATATACGGAAAATCCCGATATTATTGAGGTTGTGATTCTAGTAAACAAAACAAATGTCACTCTCTTCGTCATTCATTTCAAGACAAATAACTTTATAGCAAAATTATTTCATAATAAATAAAGCTTCTGTCTTTATTCGCATAGAATAGATATTGTAAAGTCGATTCATGTTGACTCTTTCTTCCATCGACAAATGCAGCCAGCATCCATGTCTGCTAAATAGAATTCAGTACCCGTTCCTGTGACAACCATTTGCGCATGAGTGGACGGCATGCCGATTTTTTCCAGGCGTTCGACGAGGTGAAGCTGCGATTCCCAGGTACATTTGAAAATTGTCAAACCAGACAAGATGTAAACGTGTCCAGTTTTGTCAATAGCCATTGCAGCGATTGCGCTTTCCTTCTCGACCAGTGGTAAGGCAAGTTTGACAGTTGTTCCATCAGCAGATGATACGGCCAAGACTTGTGTCGTATCGTGGACAAAGAGCGTGTTCGATTGCGGATGAAAAAGTAGATATGGACAGTAGGCTACAGGTGTCGTCATGAATTGTTTGATTATTGTATTTTCATTTCGTATATCGAGTGAGTAAAGCTGAGCGCTATCGAGTAGGCTAAACACAAAAAGACCGGGCGTTGAAGTTGATGCAATCGACCAAGGTTGAATGCTTTGTCGGTTAAACACGTCAAAATCATAGCAAAAGATGTTCTTGGATGGACCTTGAACAAATGGACGTCCATTTTCTACGTCTACCGCCAAAAATGTGATCACAGCTTCGTTGAGCACAATGAAACGATTTTCTTCTGGCAAGAATAATATCGAGCATGGATTGCTCAACTTATATGTTCTCCAGGCATTCCTACGCCAATTCCGTCGATCTGCAATTGTTTCTTCGTCGTCATCCGTTGACGGTTCGCTATCATCAAATGGATCCAACACGCGAGGGACACCATTGTCTTCAGCTTCACCTTGGGAGTAATCCTCATCGCTGTCGACAGCCATTCCCTGTAGCTTTCGATTGTGTTGACAGACGAGCTGCAACTTGTCACTGTTGGTTGTCAAGTCAATTCGAATCAAACAATCGTTTGCAAGAACGAAGAGAGCATGGTGCTCTTCATCGAGTTGTATCGCTGTCGTCTCATAAAGATTGTGAAATATCACTTCACAGTGAACTGTGTTTGAAGCCATTCTCAGAACATATATTCTCTTTGACGGATAACTACTATTTATACGTCTTTGTTTCTTCTTGCACAACAGTCTCAACTGGTGGTGCAATTTTCGTTTGTTTTGTTCTGTCAACTAATATCTTGTCGTGATAAGCATCCATATTTTACCATGTGCAACACGAAAAACCTGCCTAAGCTCAGCTGCATCTAGGAATAGTCAGCGTTTGTTTTCTACTAGAGATCTGCCTTGAAAAGTCTAAGTAATTTCCAAAACAATCATGTACCTCGCAATACAGGAACATCTATGGCGGAGGAAGACAGTTTTCTCAGAAACGATATAGAATTGTTTCGTTTGAATGAAATATTAAATATACGGTCGTTTACGACCGTGTCTATTGGACCTGGGTATGATCGTCTTTTTGTGACTGAATTTACGATACCATATTTATATAGTGAAGATACACAAATCGGATTATCCGTTACGGCCTATCATCTACACTTGCAATGTACCATATTGTCGTTTATCCAAATATTTAGCAGAGCAACTAAAATATTATGATAATAATTCAAAATCGTTTATAAAAGATTCCTTCGCACTAGTATCTCGTCTAAAACAAACAAAAGGCAAATCAGAGGATATGCTTGTTAGTTTTGACGGGGAGTCACTATATCAGGGTATACCAGTGGAAGAACTGATAAAAATAGCCGTCAACAAAATATGGGACCAGAATAGAAAGAAGTTTATAAAAGTAACAAAAACAGTTTTTCATTTTATTCAACTTAGCTACACGAAACGTTGAATTTCGTTTCTATAACAATATTTACCGGCAAGAAGATCGAGCCATTTGTTTTCATAATCAATTTCGTCCAGCACCACAAGAAAGTTACTTATACAGACCAATCATAATTGTCCACAAAGAAAAATAAGTACCAACGATGACCGTTTTCTGAGCCATCTTTAAGAAAAAAAATCATTTTTTGAAAAAAACGTTTTTCGACGAAAAACATCTAAGACCTATATTTTTTCGAGAAAATGTTTTTGTTAGAAAATGCATTGTGTCATACATCATCCGATGCAGTTTCACACGCTGATTCCGAATATGCCATTAGTTTTCAATGGAAATGCTTTGGTGTCTGTAAAAGAGGAATCGGGCGTGAAAATCAAGGCTTTTAGGACTTTTTTGGAAAACCTACCATTCGGTCCAGAAGCGTCGGCACTAATTGGCACTAACTGTGTTGACATGTCATATATAAGACAGCATTCTCTGAAAATTTCATCAAAACTGGAGCTTCGCTAAACTTCGCGCACGCATTGCATCAAACACACCTCCTGGGAAAATGCGCTAGAAAAATATTTTATTTTTTTTCTCCAACTTAGAAAGCCAAAAAATAGAAGTCTTTTACCAATCGATAGCGCACTTGATGCTGATTCTGAATATATGTTTGTTTGCCCAATAGCTATGTTTGATTTTTTAAAAGTTTTGTGTATAATCTGATTTTCAGATGGACACCGGTTTTTTAGTGTGTTTTTGTGTATAGGATTTTCCCAGCTTAAATAAGTTCTAGGACATAAAAAGTTTTGCCATTAAATAGAGTATGTTTCAAGGTATATTGAGCATCCTTAAAATTACTGAAAAATCAACTTTCATTTTTTCATCAAAAGCCGGCCTGGATGCACACTGTGAGACGGTCACTTCTCAGTGTGTACTATACACACTTACGCCGTGCATTCTAGATGGTCACTGCGAACCAACTTGGCGTTCACTTTATGTGCCATTCACACACTTTACTTTTTACAGTGCACTGCTCAAAAACTGGACATGCTGCTCACTGATCACTCATATTACAGAAAAGTCAGTACAAATTAAGAAAGTTTTCTGGAAATCATTTAGAGAACTCGGGATTCGGAACATTGTTAAGAGTACACACACACACAGCTTTTGAAAAACTTTCTGATTTTGTGCTGAACATATCTTAACGTAGAGGAAAGCCAGGACTACAAAATGAGACCGCTCCGAGCGTCTGACACTCTGTTCTTCCCCTGACTCAAACCACAAATGTTTGAATAACATTTCTTGTGGTCCTCCTATGAGTAATGACATTATAAACATACAACTTTGTTCATGGTCCACGAATCCCACACTATTAACACTTTTAGGGAATGTCAATGTGTTCTTTCAATTAATCAGAACATTACTACGTTTGTTGGGAAAGAAAAAACCAAAACATCTCGAAAAACGAAATATCTCGCACTGTGTCCACTTTTTATTGTATGATGTAACTGTTGAAAGAATATGAGAAGTGATGGTAGTTTTAACCTGCATCATTTAAAAAACTACGCTTTCAGATATTTCCCTGACCTGTTACTCTTGCTTCTGTATGTATCCTTCACTAATCATGAGACTGTCGATAGATTTTTCGTCAGAAAGTGTATCCATTGAAATACATGTAACCAAACTATTTCTTCTTTCTTTCGTTAATATTGTCATTGATAATTGCTTCTTTCTCTCCGGCCTTTCAGTGATTAATAGTACAAATCGAACTCCTCATCACACTAAAAAGCAATATTATTTATTTATTTTACTTGCTCCAAGTATAAAATTAAACTAAAGTAGAAACATTCCATTTTATTCAATAACCGGCAATGTCCCGGTGAAGTATATATTAATCTACATTTCTATTTTCATCACTATTTTTACGATCATTTTCACATAGTACATTTTGTTTTGAAAGTAAGCATATCAAACTTCCTTCAAATTAAGCACAAAGAACAATCGCTGTGTTCAGATACTTTAAAATGGCAAAAAAATTACTGTTACACTACATATTTGTATTAATAATAATTATAACATTGCAAATGCTGGTGGAACAATCACATGGCGGATCAGTTACAGACGCATTAACGGCAGCTAACGACGCACTTTGTAAAGTAACGTGTGCAGAATATTATGTATGTTCTGTAAAATATTTCTTCTCATTGAAAGTTTGTCGAAAGCATGGTTGCAAATGTGATTTATTTGGATAGATTCGTTTTCTTCGATAATTGCAATGACAACGACTTTATCGTAGCTGATACCCATTTAATAACTTCTGAAAGCATCTTTTTTTATTGGAAGAAAAATTCGAATAAAGTGAAGTCAAGTTTTTCGTTCTGATCCTTTGTTTAAATCAAGTTAGAACAAATTGGAGGGTGAAAGCTGTCCTATGGCTCGAGAAGAGCACAGATTCGGCCATATTTTCTAATGGCCGAAAAACTTCTCAAATATCTCTTGAAATAGTGATCGCTGCAATTTAAACTAGCTATCAAACTGATGAGTCATCCTATAAACTCGCCCAACTAATATATTTGGAAATGCATATGCCTGCTAGAGTTATCTTCAATTAAAAAAATAACTCCGGCTTTTGGCTCTAACTGTTTGTCTGGACTACTATTATTGTCAACATACCCATATGCTTTGTTTCATTTAAGTTGCTGATAGAAAAAAGTCGATTTAGTTCGGAACTATCTTTTCTGAATAACTGCATGAACAAATAGCCTCAAGTGTCTGGTTTCAGAATCTGTTTCGCTTTCTGTCCCAGAAGTGACCCTTCACGGTTTTATAAAAGGTCTTTAATAGTCTCAAAAAATAGATGTTTGTCGAATACTAATGTTTTTTTTCTTTATACTTAGAAATGCAATGCTTTGCAACTCACTCCCAAAGAGAAGGCCATCCATCACAGAGTATACTCTGTGGTGGTCTTTTCTGATTAAAGTGAGACAGTACGCAAGTCTGTACGATCTTGGGTTACGAGGTAACAAGCACTTTCCTCCAAGTTCTGGAATGCTAAATGTTTTCTGTTAATACTTACCAAAATCTGTTTACGAAGATTTTACATTATGTTTAATCTAAACTTTTATGAAATTTATTAAGAAATGATACTAACACTTATTTATGAAAACTATTTTTGTGTCAGAACATTCTACGTGCAATACGAATTACAATAATTTTAACAGAAGTAAGAAAAGTCAAATTCAAAAAAAAGTTTTTCCGATGAAAAATCTCTGAGGGGATCCCTTGCAGTTAACTTTTGTCAAACATTTTTTTACGTTTAAAACTAATAAGTGATGCGTCACTCGATGTAGTTTTTCCCGCTGATTCTAAATGTCACTTTATTTTTAATACAAGAGTTTCTGTGCCGAAAAAACCTCAGAATAGCTCAAAAATGAAAGGACTTTTAGAAAACCTATAACTCAGCTTTGGTAAATATGTACATTTATGTGCATCCATACTAGATGCAGTAGATGTTGACGAACATTTTGAACTAATTTTAAGCTATCTACGGAAGTGGATATCGGTGAATACCTCATTGCAATCATAACACCTTTTCCCAGCGTGTGGTTATCGGTAAACTACTTTTTTTTCTTCAGTTTTAGATTCAAATCAAAATATTTTCTTACCGACGTATAGCTGAGAGTGTCCTGAATTTTACAAAGATATGCTTTCGGTTTTTTGCCAAAGGTGCGCATGGATGCCTACTGCGACTGGGAAGTAGAACAGGAATAACCAAGATATATGATGAATAAATAACATGAGTTAGATCGATTCACTCTGTGTATTGATTGTAAGTCGGTTTTATTGTAGCGCAGCTAAGGACAACTCAACTGCACAATAACTTCCCTTAGCCACCCGAGTTTACTATATTTTCACATACTACTAAGCAGAGTATGTGAAAACACACCACACCACTATGCCTACTGTCTAATGAAGGATCGATCGATGGGGTATGTGACGATTCCATGTCGCAACCTCTCCTTCCACTATGTATAGGTTATCAAGTATCTTATATTGTTTTGTT